TTCTCCCAATTTAATACCAGGTTTACTTCGACACATCTCTTCAATATCTTTTCAAGGTTGACTAGACAGTTATTGAAATCGAATCCGCAGACTGAGAAATCGTCCATGAATACTTCCATAGTTCCATCAAGATAATCAGCGAAGATTGACATCATGCAGCGCTGAAAAGTTGTTGAGGCATTACAGAGCCCGAAAGGCATACGTCTATAGGCGAAAGTTCCATATGGGCATGTGAAGGTTGTTTTCTCTTGGTCATCAGGGTGTATAGGAATTTGGAAAAAACCTGAATATCCATCTAGATAACAGAAGTAAGAATGTCTAGCTAGACGTTCCAACATCTGGTCTATAAAAGGTAATGGGAAATGGTCTTTCCTAGTGACTTTGTTTAATTTTCTATAATCTATGCACATACGCCAACCTCTTTCTATCCGTTTCGGGACGTGCTCACCTTTTTCGTTTTGTATCACAGTGATGCCTCCCTTTTTAGGTACTACATGCACAGGGCTTACCCATTTACTATCCGAGATCTGATATATTATCCCTGCTTTCAACAACTTAAGAACTTCTTTCTTAACTACCTCACTCATTATAGGGTTAATTCTTCTTTAGTGTTCCCTCGAAGGTTTAGCATCTTCTTCAAGTGAAATCCGGTGCATGCACACAGATAGGCTTATTCCTTTAAGGTCTGAGATGTTGTACCCTAATGTTGAGGGATATCTTCGCAAGACATCTAAGAGTTGGTTTGTTTCGTTTTGGTTCAGAACGACACTGACTATAACTGGTCTGTCCATCTCTTTGTGTAAAAACTCATATCTTAGATTCTCGAGTAATTCTTTTAATTCTAAGGTTGGTTTGCTGGGGTTTTGTATAGGATCTGGAGTTAAGGATAAACATTCAAAAAGGTTATACTCCATGTAGGGTTCCATACTGTCATCATCTTTTACAATAGGTGTTGAGGGTAGTTTTATTCTTTCTATAGGTTCTTCCTGGTTAAGTTCACGGACACATTCATCAATGATATCAACTGTACAACATGCATCTGGTATTACTGGTGCCGTGAGAAACTTTGCTAGGACAAACTCTATTTTTTCGTTACCCACTTCAAAGGTTAATTTTCCTTTCTTAACATCTATTACGGCTCCTGCAGTTGATAGGAAAGGTCTACCTAGGAGGATTGGAATATCTTTATCTTATTTGATGTCCATTACGACGAAGTCGGTAGGAATGAACAACTTGCCTATTCTAACTGGGATGTCTTCTAATACGCCTACAGGGTATTTTATAGATCTGTCAGCTAATTGGAGAGACATCTTAGTAGGTTGCAAATCTCCTAGTTTCAATCGTTCACTAACTGCGAGGGACATTAGGCTTACACTGGCTCCTAAGTCCAAGAAGGCTTTATCTATGATATGATTCCCCAAAATACAAGGTATGGAGAAATTCCCCGGATCTTTGTCTTTTTTGGCAAGTTTGTTCTCAGAAATGGAATTACACTCCACTGGTTTTGGATCATCAAGTCTACGTTTATTTGTGAGGATGTCTTTCAGGAATTTAGTATAAGATGGTATTTGGGTGATGGCTTCTATAAAAGGAATCTCTACATGTGACTCCTACTCAGTAATTGTAAAAGTGTTTACATACGCATTATCTATGTTATATGTGAAGCGCCAATCAATTACCGTATCGTCCATCATAACCAAGTCGATCCTTAAAACCACATGCATTAAGTGTGATAAAGATGATATATTAATCAGCTAACCAAAGAAATCACTTTTAATTGTCACAACTTTATATATAAAGAAAATAACTTTATATCCATTTAAAATTAAATATTATCATTCATCATCAAACATGTATAAGCTAATATATTATTTTTTAAATTAAATTTATTTCTTTGATCAATTTTAAATTTAATTTATTAGTGTGTTAAATTATAAATATCATATCACAATTATTTTTTATTTATTATAACCATTACCTATTTCTAAATTCATTTAGGATGTCGTGATTGTAGACTTGAAAATGAGTCAAGTTGAATCGAACTCGCCTTAATTCCGTTCGATTTATTAAGAATTGGTTCAATTTAAATCTCGGTTCGAGTTCGATACGAACTTTTTTTAAACTTAAATTCGACTCGTTAAAAATTTACGAACTATTAGGTTCATCTCGTTAAGTTCAATTCACTTGCTTCACCGATTTAAAAGTTATTTTTTATGTACATTTTATTTTTATATATTTGACATTTTAAATTAATATTTTTTAAAAATAAAATATTAAAATAAAATAAAAGTTATAAGTATAAAATTTAACTTTGTTTCAAAAATCCACTAATTCAAAAACTACACAACTTTCAATAGACACATTTCAAAGTCTAATTCAAAAAACATTCAATTGAAGTATAAATTTATCTAAAAAAATCCATATTAAATTGATACATTTTTATCACAGAATGGTTACACCGCTTGCAACATTTATTACACATGTTATTTTAGTAAATGTCATAATGCATCTAACAAAAATGACTCTAAATACAATTGTGAGCTTTATTGCCATAATTAGTACATAATGGATAATATAGAGTTAAAATTTGGAGTAAATCTTTGTTATGCTTATTCAGATTGAGAATTGAGAAAACATTTGGAGCATTTGCAACCAAACTTGGTCGGATCAATGTAAGTTAGTTTTTAATGTTGCGATTACCCACTTGTTTAATGTTGTTTTGTTCGTTCGAAAGAGTGTAAGATTTAAAGATAAAATAATTTTTACTTCTTCTTTAATTTTTGCTATTATTTCAGTTTATGGACAACTGAAAATAATTACAAAACTCCATCTTATATCAATATTCATGATTTTGAACTATTATAGTATTTCAAAGTCAGAATTCAGCCTCCTTGTGCTCCCAAGATTTTGGAAGTTATTTGGAAACTACTTCCGTGGAATTGAATTAAATTCAATTGTGACGGTGCTTCTTTAGGCAATCCGAGTGCCTCTGCTTGTGGCGGTATTGCTAGAAACTTTGATGATAGGTTTTTTTTAGAGCTTTTGCTAATTTTTCTAGTGTCTCTAACTCTCTCATTTTCGAGCTCTCTGATGCTATGTTAGTAATTAAGTTCACTCATGAGAAGGGTTGACGAAAAATTTGGTTAAAATCGAATTCTATAGCTGTGGTTCAAGCATTCAATCCTCCAGTGCCTTGATAAATCCGTACTTGATGGGTTAATCGTGTTAATATCACCGTGAATATGTCCTTTGTGGCTTCTCATATCTTCAGAGAAAAGAATAGTTGCGCAAACTCTCTTCCTAACATAGGGTTTACGGTAACAAATTACACTAACTTCAGTTTGATTTCTAATTTCTTTTAAGGGTAGATTTTGTAAAAAAAATATGATTGGTTTGTCATTTTTTAAAGTGTGTCGTGATGTCCGACACACGTTGATATCTCACACTTGTATGACATTCGTACAATATGTGTTGAAAAATTCAAATAAGTGTTGAAAAATTCAAACAAGTGTCTTTAGAATTTTTATTTTATTTTTTTAATTCAACACTCTTTAAATCGGTGTCTATCAATCATACGACACTTATACAACATCTATCTAACAATTCATACAAATATTTTATAAATAAAAAATGTTTTCTTTTCTAAATTTCAACACATCTTATATATTTTTTAAACAAATCTCCCACAAATCAGAAAAGGTTAAACCTATATTAAAAAAATATTATCAATAAAGAATTAAAAATTGTTAATTTTAATTAATATATATTTTTAATTTTTTAAATAATAAATAAAAAATAAATTCAATTTTTAATATTTTATATATATATATATATATATATATATATATATATATATATATATATATATATATATATATATATATATATATATATATATATATATATATATATATATATATATATATATATATATATATATATATATATATATATATATATATATATATAGAGAAGAGTGTCGATGTCTTATATTTTTATATTATTAGTATTACAATATTGTCGTTATATCGAAATCCGTGCTATTATTTTTTTAGGTTGGTCTAGTTTTTTTTTCTAAAACGGTGTTGGTATAATTCTCTCTCTTATATGTATGTTTGATTTTTTTAACCTTATTAAAAAAAATATCACGCCTACATATAAATTGAACGGGATATAAGAAAATAAATGATTTGATTTACTAAAAAGGATACAAAATATATACCCCATGTTGATCATGATGAGCCTATTTAGTGCCGCGAACTTAGCAATTGACATTATTAACTTTCCCGCCGCGTGGAAAAGTAAAGAAAGGAATAAAAAAGATTAGCCCCTTTAATTACTTTATTTTGTTTTGTTTACTCTTTTTTTATTCGTGACATGATAATAATGACCTATGAACATTGAAAAAGACAATCACAAACAAACATTAGATCTCAAATATATTAACTCTACGAAATGGTTCACCTACATTCTATAAGAACGGAACTATGATGTTGATTTAAAAAATTGTCACGGTCTATAATGGATTAATTTTAAATCTTCCAAAATAATTATTTAATCTGATTCGGAATCAGTTCTAACCTCAATTAATTTCAGCCTCCTCTCAATCACAATTACTAGAAATTAAATCATAATACTCTCTATCAATCAAACGTTAACAACTACTAAATCAACTAAAATTGAACTAAATCATTTCAATTTATTTAAAATCGAACCAAACTATAATAATTTGTTTGTTATTATTTTATCTTTAATATTTATTTTACTATTTTAATTTTTCTCTGAAAACAAAAATAACATTACCCTAGTACAAAAAAAACAATACAAACCAGAACATGCCAGAACAATGCCAACTTATTCTATCTTCCATTCCCAATATCCTTTTTTTCTTCCAACCACATGCAACTCCCAAACACTTTCTACTGCCCACTTAATTCCACTATTTTAATCAAACCAGTTATTCTCCTCTTTCTCTCTCTAGAACCTCTTTCTCTCTCTAAATGGCTACTCTAGCAGACATTGGTGTCTCAGCTGCTATCAACATACTCTCAGCTCTTGCTTTCTTGATAGCATTTGCTTTACTCAGAATTCAACCTATCAATGACAGAATCTATTTCCCAAAATGGTACATCACTGGTGGAAGAACCAACCCAAGAACCTCTGCAAATTTTGTCGGAAAATTTGTCAATCTTAATTTCAAGACTTATTTGACTTTTCTCAATTGGATGCCACAAGCTTTGAGAATGTCTGAAACTGAGATTATCAATCATGCTGGTCTTGATTCTGCTGTTTTTCTTAGAATTTATGCTCTTGGGTACTCTTCTTATACCTTTTTTTTTTATCATAAAGTTTCAATTTTTACCCCAAATTATCACTCTATGTTGCTTAATTTTTGTTGCAGTTTTAGATTTCAGCATAACTCATAATGGGTTATGAAAAAAAATTCTTTTTAAAGGTTTGATTTTTAGGTACATTGTTAATGGGAATTTTTATTGTTATGCCGTGTAGTTTTCAACTTTCTTTTTTGCTAATGTCAGCTTTTGTTTTTTCCTTGAGGTGTTTTCGTGTGAGGTTCAACTTTGGTGTTTCTTGCATGTGATTTGTTGCTGCATTTTCTTCTTTCCTTCATGTTCCCTCAATTTCTGTTCTGTTTCATGTGTGTGAGTTTTGTTGTTGTTGCGTGTGAGGTTTGCACTGTTTCCATCTATGGTAATTAAGCATGTTTTGGTTATGTGGTGACAAAAATAAAGTTTGACTGAATTAATCTTGAAAAAATTGATTTTGGTTGAAATTGAGTTGAATAGAAAGTGATTTATTTATCCATTTTTATGTTTGGGTAGTTTGGATTAGAATTGCTTTTGTGTATGTATACACGTCCATAAACTGGAGAATTGATTCTATGCCTGCACAGAAGCTAGAAATATTAGCTTCTTGGTAGAATTGATTTTGGGACTGGAATCAATTTTGAAGTCAAAAGTCAAACATAAGAATTTATGGTCAAATCACATTTGACTAATTGAAAGGTGGTTATAGGAGGTAGAAGTTAGAATTTGAGGTGTTTGATGCTTCTAAACTAAAAATGATTCTACATTGAAATTTACTATTCAACTCAATTTTGCATAAAGTTATTAAAACATAAATCACTTTGCATCAAACTCACTTTTAACCACAATCAATTTACTCAATCAATTATTTTCATCTTAGAACCAAACATATTTGGTTTCACTTTTGGGAGAGGAAAAAGTGATTATGGAAGTATATAATTGATTTTAACATGTTTGGTGTTCTAAAAGTAGAATTGATTATATTTGAAGCTATGATTTGTATCTTTTGAGTCTAAACGTAAGTTTTACACTGAAATTTACTATTCAATTTCTCTTTTTCATGAATGTCTCCAAACAGTAATCAATTTATCTTTAAGTCACTTTTAAACAAAACCAATTCACTTAAAATCAATTTGTTCATCGCAGAAACCAAACACATTGAATTATCAATATAGTCCTCATGTTAGAGATATAGTATAAACTATAAAATCAATTTACTTTATTGTTTTGAGCATTCTGATTAATTTTTAAGTACTTGTATTTCAGCTTAAAGATGTTTGTTCCTGTGACAATTGTGGCACTCCTCATTCTTATTCCAGTCAATGTTTCAAGTGGAACACTATTTTTCCTAAGAAGAGAATTGGTAGTGAGTGATATTGATAAACTCTCAATATCGAATGTTCCACCTAAGTCTTTAAGGTATGAACAATTCACAACATTCCACGTTTGTTCTTTCGAACTCTTTCGAACTCTTCGTTTCGAGTTTATACCTAACCGATGCAATTGTTTATTTCAGATTTTTTGTTCACATAGGATTGGAATATCTGTTCACAATATGGATTTGTTTTCTTCTCTACAAGGAGTATGATAATGTAGCGTTAATGAGATTGCATTTTTTGGCCTCACAACGCAGGCGCGTGGAGCAATTTACGGTGAGCTCAAAGTTCTAATTCAGCGTGGATTTTCAGCTTCTGGTTCGTTTGAACTATCTTTCGAAATCCTCGTGGTTTTCATGGTTGTTGCAGGTAGTTGTCAGGAATGTCCCTCATATGTCTGGTCACTCGGTATCGGATAGTGTGGACAGCTTCTTTCAAACAAACCACCCGGATCATTATATTGGACACCAGGTAATGAATTTTAGAGCTTGTTTGGATTGACTTATTTGAGTTTTTTTATTAACATAACAACCTGTGTGATTATTTTAGAGAGCTTATTACACGTGTATACATTATTTTCATCTTATTTTCATCAACGTTTGAAAATAGCTTTTGAAAAGAACTTATAGCTTATATGAGAAAAGTTTGACTTTATTTTATCTTTTGTTACAGAAATAACTTATACATAAGCACTTAATTTAAGTTAGTCATGTTCTTATTGTTTTAAGTTCATTTTTCAGGCTGTCTACAATGCAAACAAATTTGCTAAATTTGTGAGAAAAAGAGATAGACTTCAAAATTGGCTCGATTATTACCGCCTAAAGTTTCAAAAGCATCCTCATACGAGGCCAACGATCAAGGTATGTAATCGGTATGAATACAACAAGTACATTATGCGGCTTAAACAAGAATTTACTTGAACACAATCTGACGGTGCTATCTCTTTTCATTTTCTAGACCGGATGTTTAGGACTTTGGGGAAGGAAAGTTGATGCTATCGAGTACTATGAACAACATATTAAGGCACTCGATAAAAAAGTAAGTTGTTTTTGTTTTTATGTTTCGAGTTATTGTTTTCATTTTCACTTTAACTAATAAACACGAGAGACTATATATCTAATATGTCCTTCCGCAGATGACATTGGAGCGCCAGAAGATTATAAAAGACCCGAAATCTATTTTGCCTGTGGCTTTTCTTTCATTCAATTCGCGATGGGGAGCATCAGTATGCGCGCAGACCGTACAAAGCAAAAATCCTACCCTCTGGTTGACTGATTGGGCTCCAGAGCCACGCGACATATATTGGCGAAACTTGGCTATACCGTTTGTTTCTTTAACTATCCGGAAACTTATAATAACGTTGTTGGTGTTTGCGTTGGTATTCTTCTACATGATTCCCATTGCTTTTGTGCAATCCCTCGCGAATTTGGACGGTCTTGAAAAAGTTGCTCCTTTCCTCACACCAGTAATAGAATTGTAAGTGAACTTAAATGTGCTTTTGAAGTAAATGGATACGATTCTCGGATTCTATGGATGTTAAATTCTAGATTAAAACTTGCTTTTGCTTTTGGCAGGAAACTCATCAAGTCATTTCTACAAGGTTTTCTTCCTGGTTTGGCCCTCAAAATATTTCTATACATTCTACCTTCAGTTCTCATGATTATGTCAAAAGTCGAGGGATATATCGCATTATCAACACTTGAGCGAAAAACAGCGGCAAAATATTATTACTTTATGCTGGTGAATGTTTTCTTGGGAAGCATAATTACCGGAACTGCATTCGAGCAACTGCATGCTTTTCTTCACCAGTCACCTACACAGTATGTTTTCTTGTTAATTTTTTCATAGTTTTCTCGCTGCCTCCACGTGACCGATTTTAGTGGATTTTATCGTTGGTTATAGGATTCCTAGAACAATTGGAGTTTCGATTCCAATGAAGGCTACTTTCTTTATGACATACATAATGCTTGATGGCTGGGCTGGAATTGCCAGCGAGATTCTCAGATTAAAGCCATTGGTTATATATCATCTCAAGAACGTTTTCTTAGTAAAAACCGAGAGAGATCGAGAAAAGGCCATGGACCCTGGGAGTGTGGACTATCCCGAAACTCTTCCGAGTCTTCAACTATATTTCCTTCTCGGTATTGTGTATGCTGTGATGACTCCAATCCTTCTTCCTTTCATACTCATCTTCTTCGCCTTCGCATATTTAGTTTATCGTCATCAGGTACGCGCCTGCCTATAAAGTTTTTCTTCAAAAATCCAACAACGCCCAACCATAAATATACAATTTCTTACAATGTTTGACTACATAGATAATCAACGTCTACAATCAACAATACGAAAGTGCTGCTGCGTTCTGGCCACAAGTCCACAGCCGCATTATAGCAAGCTTACTGATATCGCAGCTTCTTCTGTTCGGCTTACTTAGCACGAAAAAAGCAGTTAAATCTACTCCTTTGCTTGTAATGTTACCAATCTTGACATTCGCGTTTCACAAGTACTGCCAGCGTCGTTTCGAGCCAGCGTTTAGGAAGTATCCCCTCGAGGTATGTTGCATAACACTAACACTAACGCTACAAGTTTGAGAAAAGCAATTATTTTGAAGTGATTATTCTCTTAATCTATTCAGGAAGCAATGGCAAAAGATTTGTTGGAGAAAACAACAGAACCTAACCTAAATATAAAAGCATATTTAGCAGATTCTTACTTGCATCCAATCTTAAGATCATTTGAAGAGATAGAAGAAGAATTGGTTGAACTCGAAAAAGTTGAAGTGAGAGTAGATAAAAACCAAACTCATCATGTTGCTATTCCAATATTGAGTGAGTCAAGTTCATCTTCATCTTCACCACCACATCATATTCATCAACATCAACCTTCACCACATGAGTATTACTACAATCCTCACTCTCCTCATTATAACTATCAATATCAAGATCAACCTTGAATTGAGGATGGTAGTTACATATTACTAAGTTGCTTGAGACCTTTGATAGTGTTTTTCTTTTTAATGTTTATATTGAATTGGATACTTGTTTTGGCCATTTATCTGTTGTAATTGTAAATTATTATTATTATTATTTCTTTTTAGATGTAAATTATATGGTTTCTTTTGAAATATTAGGCGAGTAAGAAAGATTTCACTTAGAGTCTTTAGTAAGAAAAAGATATCTAGTTTTTAGCTTTTACTCGTATCAATAAAAAAACTCTATTTGATAATTGTATTTTAATTTGTAGTATGTACTTTTTTTTTATCATTTCTCATAAAAAAAACACTATTTGAATTATAGCTTTTGGTTTGTATTTTTTTTTTCATTTTTATCTTTATTGTTTTATTTAAAACTCATTTTTATCTTGACAATTTATTATAATTTAAAATGAAATAGAAATGTTTTAAATGAATGAATAGAAAAAGTCAAGTTTTATTTCTAAAAAAATTATAAATTTCTTACTTCAGTTTTTGTTCATTTTTCTTTTCGTCGTTTTCGTTCTGGCCTTCACTATTTTCCTATATCGATGAATACAATTCCATAGAGGGTAATTTTTTTTATGAGAAATGGGTTGTACTTTTATAAAGATGGCGATCTTTCTCTTAGAAATGGGTTGTACATCTATAAAGGGGTGACACTTTTTTTTAGGAAGAGTTGTATTTGAAAAATCGATTGTCAGAATTCGTCAAAGATTTGGGTTATCTCAAGCGTGTTATTCCACGGGATGAAGCTTTTGGAAAATGCTTGAAACGCCTCATTTGACATCGGTCAATTGATGGATGTTCGTACTAAGGAAGAGAGGGAAATTATTTTTATATCCCAGATGCCCTTTGCTTCTTCATTATCAACTCATTTGTTTTGTTAACAATTGTTTGAAGATTCGATGAAGGATGAAGAGACATTACGTCTTTTAAGACGGAAAATTTGGTTCACAGAAGTTGTAGCGGGCCCTTGACCGCTTTAAGGTGGGTCAATGCCTCTTCACTCTCGAAATCTTTTAAGAATGTTGATGCTTTGGTTGCTCTACAACCATCGTCGCGTATGTCGAGTCCTCTTGCTCTTGCACAGTTGACGGGGCCAAGTCCCTGCCATTCTAAAGAACACTGTGCATCCCCCTCGGAGGAAGATTGTACCTACTTATCTAAACTAACTGCGCATGCTCTTGAGAAAGAACTAGTGACTTTGACACACTATATACAACGAGTATCTATTGTTCTATCTATTGGTGGGGTCGGTCGTTGGGAGGTTCTCTAGTCTGACTAATTATGCGTAGAGAAGCAACAACTGGAAGAAAGTGTTTGTAGTCTGACATTCTAACAAGAAGACTAGGTAACTCTTTTATTGAAGGGTGCAACAAGGAATGACAAGTCTCTAGCTTCTGCTCAGGCTACTTTTACATCTACTCAAACATCACTTTTGGCTGCTCAAAGAGAACTAGAGGCTCTGCAGCTTGAAAATGCCTCATTCGCTCACTGTTTGGATGAGTTCTATATTGCTAGCTTTACAGTTGTGTTAGAGTCCTTTGAGAATGCTTTGCAGCAAGTAGAGTATTTTCATCGTCCTCTGCGTATTTTTAGGGAGCAACTTTGATCGGATCACATGCTTAAAGATGGGAAGATTATTCCTTTAGGGGCTAGTGTATCACCCCCCCCCCCTTGTCACATTCCGTGTGTAAAGTATATTGTGTTAGAACAAGATTTGTTCTTGACATATTCTCTTTTAGTTTTGATGATAACAAAAGTATTAAAAGAACAATGATTTATCTGTTTTACTTAGATACACTTGGGAGTTGCTTCATTGCCAGCTTCTAGTGGTAGAGTCTGAAGAATAATTGCTAGTGTGGTTTGGCGTAGACTCTGAGCTAAAGCCCTCAACATTTAGACGAGTTACTACACTTGATAATTATATATCAACATCTGGTACCACTCAGAATTGGTGATAAAATTGTGGATTTTCTGTATTGCAAAAAATAAGTTGTATTGTCTTATAAGCTTTTCAGCTAGAGTTTACAAGATTGTAAGGCTCAAGAAATGTTGACATTCTCTACAGACGTCTGCTCCCAACGACTCTATCAGTACAAAACCTCTTAAAGATTCAAAGGTTAAATGCGTTACATACTGGATTCAAAATCTGTTGAGCATCCATCTTCAACGTCTCTTGTACTATGGAGTAAAAGCAAGGACATTTGATTAAGTCACTTCCTCAATGGCTAGTTTCTAAAAGGTTATATATATATATATATATATATATATATATATATATATATATATATATATATATATATATATATATATATATATATATATATATATATATATATATATATATATATATATATATATATATATATATATATATATATATATATATATATATATATATATATATATATATATATATATATCTCAACAAGGATTCTTCTAATGAAGGAATAACAAGATTAAGCAATTATCAACTCTAATGTAATATGCAAATTTTCTGTTTTAGGTTGTAATTGTAAAAGCCTTTAGATTTTTCACCACTGTACATATTAGAAATCTTAAGAGCTTTAGGTATTTGTTATGGTGATTTCCCGTATCTCTGATACTTGTATCATGTACACCTTGTTCTCTATTCTGCTGAGTCTTCGGTAGTTTAGGTTAAGTCTCCTGCTATGTGCTTGAGCAAAAAGTCTTGTCTCATTGGGATTCAAGCAACAAGGCTTGGGCCAAGATGCTTAAGTCACGTAAGTCTCATTGTTTATGTGTTTGAGTTATGAAAGTCTTATTCATTTAGTCTGATTGAACAAGGAGAAGTCTCCGTCTGAGGGGCGTGAGCAAGAAGTCTCTAGTGCAGCTTGAGCAAGGGAAATCTTAATTTGGATGGCCAAGAGAGCAGGTGGCTCGGCCAGAGGATGTGAGCAAAGGAAATTCTTAGACATGTGCTCTAAGCAAAGAAAATCTCAACCAAAAGACAGAGGAGCAGGTGACTTAGTCAGATGGTGTGAGAAAATGTTAAGTTTTAGACGTGTGCTTTAAGCAAGAGAAGTCTCAGATAGTTGATCTGAGAAGTTGTAAAAGTCTTATGCAGAAGTATAAGCAATTGTAATCATGAAGTGGTTATAATGAAAATATCTTGTGAGACAAGGGGATTAGGCTACTCTCAATTAGGGAGGAATCAATATAAATTTTTTGTGTCTTCTACTGTTAGTTTATTTACTTATGTTATATTCGCTGCCAAACGAATTAACTCAGAATCTGAACATTAGTTCTGATTCTGAAACTCTGATAAGAAGCTAAATTAAAAGAGAACGTGAAACACAATGCAACCCCCTTCTTGTGTACTTTTCATACCTTCAATTGGTATTAGAGATGGTATGTGCTTAACACTTAACAGTGACATAGATAATGATCTAATAAAAAAATTATATTTCTTCAAGAAGGAATCAAGTGCCACATGAAAAATATCATACGGTTTTTTCTACCATATTCAAATAGATGTTTCCACTGAATTTAAATGATGGAAAAGCTAAACATATTTTTAACTCGTTGGACTTGATAAAGGGTTGTTGAAGGTTTATTGAATATCCTTGAAAAAGGTATTACTATAGAAGTTTATGGTGTTAAAGATGATCATCTTGAAAATCTCTTTCACCAACTAAGAAGATGCATATTAAATATCTTCAGCGGTAGTTGCATTCTGGTAGATGCATCTCACTTATGAGTATATCAACATCATTGATATGTCTGATGCTTGAACTATCTTTGAATTCTTGTGTTTAGGTTTGTGGGGATCAGTCTTTGAAGATTTAAGTAGTTACACTTCATCTAATCTTTTCAAGCAAATTCTGAGAAGATTGTTTCTTGATTTAAATCTAAAGTCACCGTTTTTTTGTTGATGTTTACATCTTGAATCTGTTGTGTTCTGAAGGTTTGTCTTGCAGTCTTCAAAGGAAAGAAATGAAGTTAGATGATGAAAAAATATTCAACAGACCACCTTCTATTTTTAGCTTAAGTTCTTTGGAATGACTAATGATAAGAAACTTAGGTTTCTTGTCATAAGGACTTCCATACTGGCCGAATAGATTGCGATATCTGTTGATAGAAGAGTGATTTTAAAGCTTCTGAAATATTTGCATTTCAATTTATTTTCCAAATCTAAAAGCAAGAAGAAACACTACTAGAACCTAATATCATATGCTCTTCAATGTTTAATCTTTTGAAGTTGATATTAGTGTAAGATGCTGTCATACCCCAAATTTTGACCCCCTTAGATCCTCATTATCATGTTGGAATCATGCATCATAAGTTTGTTTAACATTAACCCAGTTCAAAGTTTATGTGTCAAGTTACAAATGAATCAGGGTTTCGCGCGATCGCAATCGAGAACAGGTGTGTGTGATCAATGGAGGGTTTGAATGAATTTGAGGGATGAGAAGATTCAAATATATCACATGAGGTCAAAAGATAAGTCAATTTGAAGTGGGCGCAACAAAATCAAGAACAGTGCGGTACAGGCACCCGATTAGTGTTTTTAACTAGCGAAAAGTCAACTGTCGTTTGACTTTTGTGTTAGAAGATATTTCAATGAGGGAATTGTGCTTAATAGAGCTCATATGAACTAATGAAGTCTACTCAAGAAGTTTCAAAGTCTCAGGAATTCCAGAACGTCCGCAGACGACTCGGTAGCCACCGATCGATCGCGCCGGCGACGAAAAATCGACTTTTCAAATTTAAGGATTTGGACTTCAAGATGTAAAGCAAAAATGTTCCATATGTCAATATGAGACTACTCATAAATTTTCATGGTCATTTGATCAAGGATGGAGGTGTAATCGGAAAAATCGGGAATTAGGGTTTCGAAAGGGGCAAAACCATAACTTCCTAACTACACACTCAATTGAGGTGGTTCCAAGCTCATTTGAAAGCTCTTGACAAGCTATATAAAAGTGTCCTAGTGGTCCATGGTCAGAAAATGC